GACTCATGTAGCCGGCGGCCGGGTAGAAGTTGGGGTAGGCCACGGCTGCGACACAGTGGAACAAGCTCATCAGACGGCAAGGCTCCGTGGCTTCGAGACCAAGAGTTCCGCACTTACACGGCGCACTGTTGCAACGACATCCGAGACTCGTTTCATAGCTTCCAAATCACGTAATCGTGTCTTGTTTTTAGTTATTAATTATTAAGATAGTGTAATTGCGTCATATTGTGAATATTATAACAATTATTTATTTTAATCCGTCTTATCACAATATTTAAAATTTCTTATAATTAAGATACTAAAATATCATTGATGTTCCATATCGGTTGATCGATTTACATTTCGGAACATTTACACAACATGTTTCGGTTTTTATAAAACCATCATCAGGTGTAAAATATATCTTAGAACTTAAAACTCAATTATGATTTCTGTAGTATTTTGGTGATGTTTCATTACGTTTGTTTTTCCATTTTTGGGCGAAGGTGTTGTTTTTCCCATTTTTGGGAGAAGGTGTTGTTTTTTCTTAAATGTTATTAGATGTACATATCGGCCTGTAAGTAAATGATTGAAAGAAACACTAAAGAATTTGAAAGAATTTATAAAACAATTTAGAGAATAAAATGCAAAATATATAAATTATAGTTAGAAAGTATCAATAAAATAAAAATAAAAATAAAACATACCAAAGATGTAGGAGTGAGTGTCCCGATATGTCCATTTTCATACTCGTGACTTTTTTTAAAGAAAATTAACTGGAAAATTTGGCTTTGACAAGTCCTTCCCCTAACCTCAAGTTTCCCATAATTTTTTGGTCTTGCTAACCGCGGTGCTTTTCAAGAACGTAACCCCAGAGTTTGTCGAGGGATTTATTGATACACAAGACAAGACACAACTATACTGAGCAGCACAAATTCCTTGTGATTCTGTACTGATTCATCTACATCTTAATTTGAGAGCAACTTTAATAAACACAAGTGAATAGTCGCTCAACTGTTCAAGATATTTCCTCTTATTTAAATCCATTAGTCCACTGAGTTTATCAGCTTCTTAAGAAGGACACTAAATGTTTAAGACGAAAGTACCTAGAACACGTCCAGCGTTGTTCAGCTTTCAGCCAAAATTGTGCTGCATCTATTACTCGTCTCCTCCCGTGCGTGCTACATTCTCGGTCTGCCCTATCATTCTATATGTATTACACGCGATTTTCCCAAGGCCCGGTTACTTCTTCTCTCGCAGGTAGAAATATTATTTTAAGGACGCCGTTCTTGCCCATCCATTAATGCCAGTGACCTAGTTTCACACCCATGCAAAAACAGGTATAATTATGTATGTTAAAATATAAGTATGATAAAAGTTTGATTTTTGGAATGTTTCAATTTTTTTTTTTTGTATTTTTTAAAAGACGAAACATTCTGATCTGCTAAGTGGCCTATTGCTTATTTATTACACTTGAAAGTAAATCTAATTCCACTTCAAGTGCACACTTCATAAGACCTGAAATGTTTCCTTTACTTTGTAAATTTTTATCACGATTAAGAAGAATTTTTGGTCACAGTCGTAGATATTAATACGACGTATATTTATTTTTATTGCAAATGTTGTACTGGGATATTTTAAAAAAATATATTTATTTCCGTGTGAGCTTTATGTAAATTGAGTATCGTATAAGTACAATGAAAAACAAAATTAAATTCTGTTTTTCAGCTTGAAGTCTAGATTTGCAGTACAAAGTTTTTTTTTATCAAAATGCGTTCGTTAGTTTCAGAGATAATACCTGCGCTACAAATCGCGACATCCTCATTATGCGTTCTTTTAATGCGTTCGAACGTGCTTAAAATACTGTCGTATCGAACTGTAATCTGTAGAAATGCTTTTCGGTGACGGAGGGCTCAGACACAAAGCAGGAAGTCTGTTGTCGGCCTCACATTTGCACCCGGATGAACTTCGTGACATCATGAGACCGAACTTAATGCTCTTACAGACCCCGAGGTCTTGGACATTATTTTCTTCTGTTCGAGGCGCCTCGCCCCCAACCACCCTCTGCATAAAGCAAGGGGATTTGCATGAGTGTGTGTGTGTTATGAACGTCTGGATGTCGAGTACAGTCTCGTACATTCGCGCTTAACACAACTACATTCTTTCGTATCTTTTATCTAGGGATTTACGTGTGTGTCCACTGAAAAATTGACTTCGTAATAATAATTGAATGGCTTTCAACACAGAGTTTAGTTATACAAGTATGGGGCTTGTTCAAATGAAATCCGTTTGGGGATTGTTCTGGGCGAAGGAGTTGAGCCAGATAAAGTTGTCCCCCTCAGCGTCTAGGCAGGCACCCCACTGACGTACTAGTCGACAGATCTCGGCAAAGACCACCCTGTCTTTCTACTAGAAACACTGACTACTCGACAGCGGTCACGACGTCCTTGTCGTATCCGATTCTACGGCCGTTCAGCGCTCGTTGGCGTAGGCGTGGTGACAGGCTGTGTGACCTTCCACCTTCCAGCATGACCTGCCCTTGGAGGCGTCAGCTTTGTTCACACTATCACCGTGCACTGATCTTGATGACAAGATCCTTGAGTGACAGCATCAGCCATCCATTGATGCTGAAGCAGGCAGTCCTGTTTCGAAGGATTCTGCACTTGGAACGTCAGTTTGCTTAAATGTGTCTGTTTTGTGGTGAATCTCGTGGCAGTCTTCTGCTGAATGTCGTCTGGTTCCTTGGGGCCTTCAGCAATGCATACAGTTTAAAGCGACAGGTTGTACAAACTGAAGAAGATCAGGTTATGTAAAGTCGAATAAGTGAAATATTTTTTTTAAAAAAAAAATCAATTTAAGTAAGTTATGTTAAATCAGGAAGAATGCGTTTCTGTGTGTCAGCACTGAAAATTTAAGCGAATCCTCAATCCTGTTTGTGTTTTGACCGTCACTGAAATACCACGACATATTTCCTTTCTCTCAAGTGGGCATTTGTCTGTCAGCGAGCCTCCGCCCGCGGAATCCGTCAGCTGAATAACAAAAGTAGACGCACACTTTACGTCGTGCTTAGTGCAGAGGATTAGAGAGCTTACCTGGGCATTTTACTTTTCCTTGTAAAAACACAACGTGGTAATTTTCTTTGTCGTTCTTGTCCAGCTTAAAGGATAAACAAAACTTCAAGTCGCCCCCACGTTTCGGGGCCTGCAATTGTGGCTTTCTGACTTCCCGGATCTAGAACGGGACTCGCATTGACTAACAGCTCACGTGACGTTTCAATGAACTGAGTTCTCTAGTAATAAGATTAATAATGCAGGGAGCTGTTCTTCAGCACTTAAGAGGCCTGTGCGTGACTGAGCCACTGTCACCGGTGAGGCATGGAAGCCTCGAAAATTCGGAAGTGCAAATGTGGCTCTCGGTCTTTGTTGGAGACCTCGAGAGTAATCGGTAACTTTAATTTAAAGACGAAGGATTTGAGGTTCTCACAGGGGTGAGTCCGAAGATGGCTGTCTTCTGGGTTATTGCACTGTGTAGTCTGGTAGAAGCTTACGAACGTTTCAGATGAGAACATCGCCCTGACGATGGAGGCAGCAAGGAAATCTGAAACGTTGGTAAACATCGACGAGACTACACAGCGCAACAACCCTGAAGACAGAAATCTTCATCCCCTGATGACGGAGGCAGTATGACCGCCGAAACGTTGGTTAACATTGACCAGACTACACAGCGCAACAACCCTGAAGACAGAAATCTTCATCCCCTGATGACGGAGGCAGTATGACCGCCGAAACGTTGGTTAACATTGACCAGACTACACAGCGCAACAACCCTGAAGACAGAAATCTTCATCCCCTGATGACGGAGGCAGTATGACCGCCGAAACGTTGGTTAACATTGACCAGACTACACAGCGCAACAACCCTGAAGACAGAAATCTTCATCCCCTGATGACGGAGGCAGTATGACCGCCGAAACGTTGGTTAACATTGACCAGACTACACAGCGCAACAACCCTGAAGACAGAAATCTTCATCCCCTGATGACGGAGGCAGTATGACCGCCGAAACGTTGGTTAACATTGACCAGACTACACAGCGCAACAACCCTGAAGACAGAAATCTTCATCCCCTGATGACGGAGGCAGTATGACCGCCGAAACGTTGGTTAACATTGACCAGACTACACAGCGCAACAACCCTGAAGACAGAAATCTTCATCCCCTGATGACGGAGGCAGTATGACCGCCGAAACGTTGGTTAACATTGACCAGACTACACAGCGCAACAACCCTGAAGACAGAAATCTTCATCCCCTGATGACGGAGGCAGTATGACCGCCGAAACGTTGGTTAACATTGACCAGACTACACAGCGCAACAACCCTGAAGACAGAAATCTTCATCCCCTGATGACGGAGGCAGTATGACCGCCGAAACGTTGGTTAACATTGACCAGACTACACAGCGCAACAACCCTGAAGACAGAAATCTTCATCCCCTGATGACGGAGGCAGTATGACCGCCGAAACGTTGGTTAACATTGACCAGACTACACAGCGCAACAACCCTGAAGACAGAAATCTTCATCCCCTGATGACGGAGGCAGTATGACCGCCGAAACGTTGGTTAACATTGACCAGACTACACAGCGCAACAACCCTGAAGACAGAAATCTTCATCCCCTGATGACGGAGGCAGTATGACCGCCGAAACGTTGGTTAACATTGACCAGACTACACAGCGCAACAACCCAGAAGACAGAAATCTTCACAAGATAATAATATCACATTCAGCTTCGTGCAAACTTCTTTTATCAGGTCCTTGTTTCCTTCTGCGATTCAAATGGCGCAAGGTGTAGAAAGGTACGGAACAAATGTCTTTATCTTCATGGTACACTCTCTTTCGCAGCTGGCAGCTAGGATTGGCATAAACACTTCAGGGTTCCGCGACTGACGACAGAAACGAGGTTTCTGGATGACTTGGTCCGCGTAGTTTCAAGTGACGTATGTTCTTTAGGAAATGGCACGCCAAGACAAACAGCGGACCCTACTTTTAGTTGAAAATCGCTGAA